TGGAACAACAGGTGAACAACCGATGGAACAAAACAGGGTGGATACAACCGTGGAACAAGGTGGAACAACCGATGGAACAACCGACCACGACTTCCCGCCGGTGTTCATGAGAGGCGGTTTATTCCCACAGGATACTAAAGTAAGTCCTGGATTTTGGCTGTCAGTTGTGGCCAGTTGATAACTATTGTTATTTTGGTTATAGTTGCTGTTGGGATTGCGATAATGATGATGAAGAGGAGGAAGAGGAAAATTGTTGTTTTTTATTGTTATTGACATAATTAGAATTATTGTTAGTTTTTTTTAGTATGACATAGTACTGTTATTATTTTTTATTATTATTTTATCATGGTCACCACCATGACCTTGCATCATCACCATCACCACATTCACCACCACCACCACCATCACCACCATCATCCAACCACTCACCATCACCATCACCATCATCACCACCATCATCATCATCACCACCATCACCACCACCACCACCACCACCATCATCATCATCATCATCATTCACTCCGACATGGCTTTACTTCTTTGCCTTAACTGACCCCGCAGAAAGCTACTTTGTCAACCGCCCAGCGCCCAACGGACACCACACCGCCCACAGACACCACTGACACTCCTCCAGTCACAGACAGCTCAGGATTCGGCGCAACTGACACTGCCCCGACCACAGCCACCGTCACCGTCACGTCAACAGAGACGACCACCACCACAGCCACCGAGACGCTTCTGGTCACCACCCAAGCCACCGAGGTCACCACCGCCACCCGGACTTTTTCCGTCACCACGACCTACACGGAGACCGAGACACTGACCAGCACTGTCACAGCACTGTCACCAGCACTGTCAGCACCATGCCCGGGAAGTCGACGCTCCTATCGTAGACGCGCCCTCTGCTGACCACAACAAGGGACCTGCGATCACTCCTGTCAGCCTGTTCCTCGTGAGTACGATCTCCCCTTTCCCTTTAGCGAAGAGAAAACACAAAATGAGGTTTATTGAAAATACTTTTTAAAATTATATATATATATATAATATATAATATATATATATAATATATATATATATATAGATAGATCATATCATCATCATCATCAAATTTAGATACCGACTTCAAAATATTCCACCTAATGCTTTTTTTTTCATCATGATTTTAAAATACTCAAATCAGAGCAAACTACAGGCCTAAAAACATTCTGACAGCTATTTTTTTTTCCATCAGGTCTTTAAGATATTAAAATCAAATTTAGATATGGACAAAAATATCCCACCTATTGTTTTTTTTCATCAGGATTATAAAATACTCAAATCCGAGCAAACTACGGGCCTAAAAGCATTCAGACAACTATTTTTTTTCCATCAGGTCTTTTAAGATATTAAAACCAAATTTAGATTTGGACAAAAGTATTCCGCCTAATGCTCTTTTTTCCATGGTGATTTCAAAATATTCAAATCAGAGCAAGATACAGATCTAAAAACATTCAGATAACCATATTTTTCTTTTTTTCAAGATATTGAAACCAAGCTGGGATACGGACCTAAAAACATTCAAACTAACCGCCTTTTTTCCCTTCGCAGCGTCCGGGTGGCTCTACGGTTCCTTGGTCTTCGCTGGGCTGGGCCTGGTGCTCATGGTGGCCGGGAGCGTCTGGCTGATCATCACCTTCGTCAGGAAAGCGACCTTGAATGGCAGAAGGAGAGGCCTCGTCTAATCGGGGGTTTAAGAGGTCATTTAGGTTGCCATGGTTACTAAAGGTCGAGTTGCAGAGGTCGCCGGGGGCCAGGTTGCCATAGTTACCAGAGGTCGGGTTGCAGAGGTCGCCGGGGGCCAGGTTGCCATGGTCAACAAGCGTCAGGATGACCAGGTCATTTAGGACTGGGCAGAGGTCACCTTGTGGCAGTTTAAAGGTCTCAAAGGGGCAGTAATGTGCCCAGGTCACCAAGAAACATGAACTGCGCTACCGAGGTGAGGCTTTGCAGAGGGCAGTAAGCATTGCCAAGGTCAACAAGAACCGCGCTACCGAGGTCACCATAGACTGACAGGTCATCAAGGGCATGGATACCTAAGTCACCAAGTCAGGCTGTCGGGGTCACTTAGGCTGTCGGGGCGGGGGAGCCTTTTGCATAGAATAAAAGAATATATTTATATATTTATTTCGTTGAACTAGCAATTATGCCTCTCACATTTTTAATGCTGTTTAACTCCTTTAGGATTTTCGATTGGCAAATGATGACGTCATCGCTTTTGCTTTCGTCATGGTTTTCAAATATGAGTTCGAATTTTCCAAAGGGCCAGAGCATCTGAAAGCCTCTTGCTTTCGAAACCCAGTGCATTCGAGGCTTGAAATGAAAAAAAAAAAATTTTTAAACCGAGTGCATTCGAGGCTGAAGTTGACTGTTTTCGAAACCGAGTGCATTCGAGGTTAAAGTTAAAAAATTGTTTTCGAAACCGAATGCATTCGAGGCCGAAGTGAGAAATTCTTAGTTTCGA